CATTGTGTAAGACAGTGTAGCGATTCCTCAAGGGTCTAGAACTAGAAATACCATTTGACCCAGCCATCCCATTACTGGGTATATACCCAAAGGGTTATAAATCATGCTGCTATAAAGACACATGCACACGTATATTTATTGCAGCACTATTCACAATAACAAAGACTTGGAAACAACCCAAATGTCCATCGATGACAGACTGGATTAAGAAAATGTGGCACATGTACACCATGGAATGCTATGCAGCCATAAAAAAGAATGAGTGCATGTCCTTTGTAGGGACATGGATGAAGCTGGAAACCATCATTCTCAGCAAACTATCATAACGACAAAAAACCAAACACCACATGTTCTCACTCATAGGTGGGAACTGAACAATGAACATTTGGACACAGTAAGGGGAACATCACACACCGGGGCCTGTTGCGGGGTGGGGGCTTGGGGGAGAGATAGCATTAGGAGACATACCTAATGTAAATGATGAGTTAATGGGTGCAGCACACCAACATGGTACATGTATACATATGTAACAAACCTACACATTGTGTACATGTACTCTAGTACTTAAAATATAATAATAATAATAAAGTAAAAGTAGAATTCTGTGATTCAGCAGTTCCATTTCTGGGTATATACTCAGAAGAACTGAAAGCAAGAACTTGGGCAGATAGTTGAAAACCCATGTTTAGCAGCATTAGTCACAATAGCCAAAAGGTGGAAGCCACTCAAGTGTCCATTGATGGAAGAATGGATAAAGAAAATGTTCACACATATGTACACACAGAAAGAGAGTGGGGTGGGGAAGAGAGAGAGATGCAATGGGAATATTATTCAGCCTTAAAGAGGAAGGAAATTATAACACATGCTACAACATAGGTGAACCTTGAAGACATGCTAAGTGAAATAAGCCAGTTATAAAAGCACAAATATTGTATGATTTCACTTAGATGAGATATCTAGAGAAATCAAATTTATAGAAACAGAAAGTACAATAGTTATTGCCAGGATCTCGGGGAGGAGGAAGTGAAGAGGTTAACAATAGGTACAAAGTTTCAGCTGGGGAAAATGAAAATGTTCTGGAGATGGATGGTGGTGATAGTTGCCCAATAATGTGAATACACTTAATGTCACAGAACTGTACACTTTAAAATGATTAAAACTATAAATTTGATACGTATTTTACCACAATAAAGAATTACCAGGCATGCAAACAAGCAAAAGAAAAACTAACCAATTATAATAAGAATCCAGAAATCACACAGATTATAGAATTAATAGGCAAGGGCATTAAAGCAGTTGTTTATATTGCATATGTTCAAGAAAATAGAGGAAATTATGAGTAGAGAAATGTAGGATTTAGATTTAAAAGAACCAAATTGAACTTTAGAGGTAGAAAATACAATATAATATCTCAAGTGATGAATAAACTGAATGATCCACAACATATTACTGCTGGAATTGCTGCAGGAGGAAGATCAGCATACTTAAAAACAGCAGTATAAACTATCCAAATGAAACACAGATAGAAAAAGAACTGAAAAAGAAAGCATCAGTGAGCCATGGAACAACTTCACGTTGCCTATAACGTATGTAACTGGAGTCCTGAAGGAGAGATAGGGAGCATATAAGTAGTTATTAGAAAAATAATGCTTGAAAAATTGTTGAATACTATGAAAATTATAATTTCACAAATCAGAGAAGCTCAATGAACCCCAAGCAGGAGGAATATGAAATAAACCACACAAGGCACATCATCATCAAATTGCTGAAAACCCATGATAAAGAGAAAAATCTTAAGAGCAGCGAGAGAAAAACAAGCACATGATATACAGAAGATCAAAGAATGACAGCAACTTCTCGTCAGAAACAGTGCAAGCCAGAATACAGTGGAGCAGGATTTTTAAGTTCTAAAAGGAAAAGAAGTTGTTAAGCTAGAATTCTATACCAAACAAGAATGTCTTTCAAAAATAAAAATGAAATGAAGACGTTTGCAGACATATACAAAAGCTTAGAGAATTAATCACAAGCATATCAGTACTACAAGAAGTGTTAAA